GAGTGGGGTGGGTGGGGTGAGTGAGTGGGGTTGGTGGGGTGGGGTGATTGGGGTCGGGTTGGTGTTATGAGTGAGTGGGGTGGGTGGGGTGGGGTGGGGTTTGCTTGTGGGTCATTCGGTCAACTCCGTAGACGATGAGGCCATACGGTCGATGACATCAGGGTCCCTGGGGTGAGCGTGGTTGAGAGTGGAGCGGCAGTGGTGACACTCGCGCCCACAGCAAGAAGCACCTGGGTTCGATCCCCGACTCTCCGTGTGCAGTGTGGACAGTCTCCCCCGTCCTGCACGGGTGGTTTCCTCCGGGTTCTCCGCTTTCCTCCTCGCAGAGCGAAACCCAAACAGCCACTCCCAATGTGGACCGGTAGTGGCCAAACATCCACAAATGCGGACGAAGTGCGCCGCTAATGACTCAGCAGCAGCATCAACCCCCACGTACCGCGACAAAACCTGGGAACGACGCTCCTGAAAAAGATTGTTGAGACTCGGCGGCGAGGCACATTGCGACGAGTCCTGGATGTCGTGGATGGTGAAGGGGGATGTGGGGGGGGCGTCACCCAAGCCCCCCCACCTCCATCCCATCTCAGTGGGCAGAAGAAAACGAGGAGGAGGCGGTGCGTGGGATGTGGCAGCAGGAAGGAAGAGACGGCGAGGCGCGGTCTCGCTGGCTTCATGGCGGGTTGGTTTCGCCTCGGAGTGGCCTCAAAAGAAGCGCGCGTGGCACTGCTGATGAGACACTGAACGTCGATTCCCAGTCCAGAGTTGTGCTCGTGTTGAGCCAGTGGCTCTGACAGTTTCCTTCCACTCCCGGAAGCTCGGCTGATGGGATGAGTAAGGGACACGGTCCCTGCACTGTGCGTCTGCTCATCTGTCTCGCCATTCCACTGATTCGATCCAAGAGAGAATCCAGGATAGTGACATCATTCGTGGGATTCGAAAGCCTCTCCCCCCCCACGCCCCCCAGCCTCCCCCCACACCCCTCCCCCCACACACCCCAACCCCATCCACATCCCTCCCCCCACGCTCCCCAGCCTCCCCCCACACCCAAACCGTAAAAGTTCACAATACGAAGTCGTCATTGGACCCATGAATAGAACATATCCCTCCCGTTTGGTCCATCTCCTTTGTTCCGTCTCGTTTGTATTGTTCTGTCTCGATTGTTCCTTTGTTCTGTCTCGTTTGTATTGTTCCGTCTTCATTGTTCCATTTTCTTTGTTCTGTATCGTTAGTATTGTTCTGTCTCGTTAGTATTGTTTGGTCTCGTTTGTATTGTTCTGTCTCGTTTGTATTGTTCTGTCTCGATTGTTCCTTTGTTCTGTCTCGTTTGTATTGTTCCGTCTCCATTGTTCCATTTTCTTTGTTCTGTATCGTTAGTATTGTTCTGTCTCGTTAGTATTGTTTGGTCTCGTTTGTATTGTTCTGTCTCGTTTGTATTGTTCTGTCTCGTTTGAATTGTTCCGTCTCCTTTGTTCCATCTCCTTTGTTCTGTATCGTTAGTATTGTTTTGTATCGTTTGTTCTGTATCGTTTGTTCAGCCTCGTTAGTTCTGCAAGATCCCAGGTCGCACTCGCGAGCAGTTTGCATAATCAGGAAAGAATCGATCGCACCGCGCGCGACTCAACGCATGGAATCGATTCATCATCGTCTCGCGTCCAGCACAGCAGAAAATAAACCAAAATCTCAACAACAACAACAACAACGACCCCGAAACAACGACAACAACAACAACAACAGTCAGGTCAGCAGCACGTCCCTAAGTACATGAAATGGAGGAGGGACATCTCTAGAGGAGAGTTGAACTCTCTAGAGGAGAGTTGAACTCTCTAGAGGAGAGTTGAACTCTCTAGAGGAGAGTTGAACTCTCCTCGAGAGAGTTGAACTCTCTAGAGGAGAGTTGAACTCTCTAGGGGAGAGTTGAACTCTCTAGAGGAGAGTTGAACTCTCTAGAGGAGAGTTGAACTCTCTAGGGGAGAGTTGAACTCTCTAGAGGAGAGTTGAACTTTCTAGAGGAGAGTTGAACTCTAGAGGAGAGTTGAACTCTCTAGAGGAGAGTTGAACTCTCTAGAGGAGAGTTGAACTCTCTAGAGGAGAGTTGAACTCTCTAGAGGAGAGTTGAACCTCGAGAGAGTTGAACTCTCTAGAGGAGAGTTGAACTCTCTAGAGGAGAGTTGAACTCTCTAGAGGAGAGTTGAACGCTCCTCGAGAGAGTTGAACTCTCTAGAGGAGAGTTGAACTCTCTAGGGGAGAGTTCAACTCTCTAGAGGAGAGTTCAACTCTCTCACTCTAGAGAGTGAACTCTGTCGAGGAGAGGGAACTCTGGACAGAGGGACCTCCCAGGAGCTCCCTCTGTCGGCGAGGGGCGCTTTCCGCCAGCACTTGCAGGTGCTCCGCCTTCGTGTCCCTCACACTGGCACTGGGAAGGGACGTGATGACGTCAGCGCGATACACGCACCTGGCTTAACGTCATCACGCAAATGTGCGCGGTGACGTCATCCACGCACCAGTTTTAAATATCCACGCAAATTGCATCTCTTTCACACTCGCAGAGGAATCAGCAGCAGCAGCAGCAGCCGGGCAGTAAAGAGCCAGTGCTCACCAACCATTGCCCGAGCTCTGCGATCCTCTCTCTCTATATATCTAATAAATGAGTGCGTGCGTGCATTTGAACGTGTCGGAGGAAATCGGAGCAAGGAAACTCAAACCCCACACATAGACACACAGAGAGAGATAATCGGGATTGGAATCGCGATTCACGCGCAGAGATGATCACCTGACACTTTGCCTGCCTCGCCAACAGGCCACGAGCAATCACGATTGAGGCGCAACTTAAATCGACTTATCGATTCACTGAACCCCCCCCCCCCACATTGCTCGGAATTTAGTGGGGGAGGGGTGCGAATCGATTACGCCCGAAGGATCTATGAATAGATTCAGATAGAGCGCACGATATTAGGAGAGTTCCAAGGTGAGCTTAAACGGATCGATGAATGATCTATTCGTCGTTACGCGCGCATTATCGATTATTGGATTCTACTACAGAGAGAGAGAAAGGCGGGGAGAGGGGAGAGAGAGGGCGAGATATTGAGGGGAGGGAATGAGGGGGAGGGAGAGAGAGGGAGAGAGAGCAGAGATGAGCTACACGTCAGAGGCCGTAGCACTGCGAGAAGGGCTGGGTGCAGATGCAGCACTTCTCGTAAAAGATATATTAAAAATATTACAAATATTACATAGAAAACATAGGGGGAACATAGACATGGAGTAGGGAGAAAGGGGGTAGAGAACGAGAAATATTTTGTGAAATCTTTCATTTAAAAAGGGGGGGGGGGGAGGTTACATGAAGCAAAGCGTTAAAATAAAACTAAAGAAAACGAAATGATGAACGAAGCAAAGTGCCGACTACACCGAGCATCTTCTTGTTTCCTCTGATCGTAAAAAAAGAGGGAATGAGGGAGGGGGAACGAGGAAGCAGGAGGAAGAGGGAGAGCGTGGGAGAGAGTGAGGGGAGTAATGAGGGAGATGGATCCTAGCGAGAGGCGATAAGAGCGAGGGATCTCTTGAGAGAGTGAGGGCTATGATGTTGCGACTGTTTCAGTTGGCGAAGCTCGTCGCCCATTGGGTGGCGGCTCCGGCGCCGCGTGCGGCTCTTGAGAGACTGCTTTGTGACGTCATTTATTCAGGACCTCCACCACCGTCTCGTCCTCGTCACCACAGTGGCATTGCGGCTCTTGCAATATTGAGTTGTTGTTGTTTACCGAATTAGAATTTTTAAAAATGACTCTACTTGTTAGTTCGGTTGCGTGACCTGCCACGGCCACCACGAGTTCACAGTGGCCGTGTCAGGTTCGCTGAGCCACCCGCCGCTGAGGCCTGGGCTCCAGGCCGAGTGTCACAGCCCCTGTGGGTGACCAGGACGGTGTGCTCGGTGCTCTCTCGCGCCGCTCGCCCAGACCGCACAAGAAGCCATCGGGAATCCCCCGTTGACAAATTCCGATGAATCCGAACTGCGAGTGAAGCGCACGCGGTGTTTTGTGTCCGAGTCGAACTTCCGCTGAGCCGAGCTCCCCCACAGTCGAGCGCCCGCCCACCCCCCATCGGACCTCGTCTCGGTGGGGGTAAGAGGCGATTGAAATCGGGGCACCGCTAGTAGTTCTGTCAGCTCCTCTTCTGCGGGCACCGTTGTCTCACTCAAAATCGGACTCGTCTTCCTGGCAACGTGGAGCCGAGGTAACATTTGGAAGAGGGAGTGAGAATCTGCATCATCATCATCAGCAGCAGCAGCAGCGTCCCGCCGCTCTGGATAAATTGATCCAGGCAACTCAACGTAAAATGACCGTGATACTCCCAATATATTCTTTGTCCTTGAGCGCGACCGTGCAAAGCCCTAAGACCGCTGATCGCCACCCAAACACTGGGCGCCTATTCGAGGGCATTCAGTAGAGACGATGTGGTCCTGTTAGGAGAGGGACGCTTTGATGCTGGTGCGTTGAGACAGGTACAGCGTGTCGGCAGAATCGCCCAAACAGAGATCAATAATTGAGATTGTGATGAATGATTCCCCAGGAATCTCGGTGGGAGACGGGAGGGGCGGAGGGCGGGGGGTGCGGTGGAACTCGGGAGAAGAGGAATAATGGGATGCGTCGTTCCCGTGATCATTGTGTCGATATCTTCACGAGGTCGGGTTCTCGTTTTAGTTTACAAACACACACACACACACATCCCTACACACATACACACACATACCTACACACATACACACACACATGCACACACATAAACACACATACCTACACACATACACATACAAACACACATACACACACATACATACACACACACACCTAAATACACATATTCCTAAATACACACATACATACACACAGATACATGCACATACATGCATGCATACACACCTACAAAGACAAATATACCCCTTATAGCCTTAACAGACTGTAGAGGCAAGTGCTGTTAGCGAGCAGCTCCTATGAAGGTCGGCACCGCACACGAGGGGGTGGCCAACACCACACCCGGCCGCCTTTGTCTCCCCAGTGGCAATGTTTACACACCGCACCAGGTACTCATTTGATGCTGAGTCGACCTAGAGGAGGCCCGGAACCGGTTCATATAACCGTCACCGGTGTTGGCCGTGAATGGGAATCAAACTCGGGCCGCCGGGTATGTAGCGCGGCGTAGCGCTAACCACTACACGCGTACACACACACAAGGCTAACGCACACCTACACTCATACACACGTACATACACAGAACACACGCACAGACGCATTCGAACGAATACACGCGGGCGAATACGAAGGCGAGTTTCTACTCTCTACACAAACACACACACAGACACACCACAGGCATACACACAGACACGCACACAGACACACACACAGAAACACACCACAGACACACCACAGGCACACACACGGACAAGAGGACAGACACGCACACAGACACACAAACACACACACAGACACACCACAGGCATACACACAGACACACCACTGGCACACACACAGACACGCACACAGACACACACACACTACAGGCATACACACGGACACGAGGACAGACACGCACACACACACAGACACGCACACAGACACACGCACACAGACACACCATAGACACACCACAGACACGCACACAGACACGTGGGTGAGGCGCAGCGAGTGGCAGACTCACGCAGCCAGCCGCCCGCTCTCTCCCCATCTCCCCGAACTCTCCCCTGCTTCACGCGCTCTCACGTCCATCTCCCGGCTCCGGGGTTCCCTCCTCTCCCAGCTCCCCGCTGCATCCTTCACCCTGCTGCTGCTGCTGCTTCTCCTGCCGCTGCTGCTGCTGCTGCTGCTGCGAGATGGTTGAATCACCACCACCGCAACCACCTCCACTACCACCTCCAGCATCATCACCTCCAGTACCACCACCACCTCCAGCACCAGCACCACCAACACCACCTCCACCACCTCCAGCGCCACCTCCAGCACCACCACCACCACCTCCAGCACCCCCGGTGGAGTGGTTGTAGAGGCCCTGCGCCATGAGGTAGAGTGCGAGGGCGTTCTTCACGCCGCTCGCCTTCTTGATCTTGGCGCGCTTGTTCTGGAACCAGATCTTGATCTGCGCCTCGTTCAGCCGCAGCTCGCGCGCCAGCGCCGTGCGCCGCTCCTCCGTGAGGTAGCGCGACGCCTGGAACTCGGCGCGCAAGCGGCACAGCTGCTCGCCCGTGAAGGCCGTGCGCGGCCTCTTGTCCTCACGAGCGTCGCCTCCACCACCACCTCCACCACCACCTCCACCTCCTCCCCCTGCTCCACCTACTCCTGCTGCTGCTGCTGCTCCACCTCCTCCACCGCCACCGCCGCCGCCTCCTCCCTTCTTTTTGCTCTTGCGCGTGCGGGGACCTGGGGTGCGAATGGAGAGGGTGAGGGGTGGTGGAGGGTGAGGGGTGGTGGAGGGTGAGGGGTGGTGAGGTGTGAGGGGTGGTGGAGGGTGAGGGGTGGTGAGGGGTGAGGGGTGGTGGAGGGTGGTGGAGGGTGAGGGGTGGTGGAGGGTGAGGGGTGGTGAGGGGTGGTGGAGGGTGAGGGGTGGTGGAGGGTGAGGGTTGGTGGAGGGTGGTGGAGGGTGAGGGGTGGTGGAGGGTGAGGGGTGGTGAGGGGTGGTGAAGGGTGAGGGGTGGTGAGGGGTGGTGAGGGGTGAGGGGTGGTGGAGGGTGAGGGGTGAGGGGTGGTGGAGGGTAAGGGGTGGTGAGGGGTGGTGAGGGGTGAGGGGTGAGGGGTGGTGGAGGGTGAGGGGTGGTGAGGGGTGAGGGGTGAGCGGTGATGGAGGGAGAGAGGAGTAATAAGATAGTGAGAGGAGAGAGTCCAGGGGAGTGAGATAATGGCAGGTGAGAGGGATTGAGAGGCAGGGGAGAGGAGGAGAGAGATGAAGACGAAGAGCGACAGGCGGAGCGTGTGAGACTCACAAAGACAAAGATCCCCCATAGCCATTCACAGACTGCTGGGGCAAGTGCTGTTAGCGAGCATCTATGAAGGCTGGAACGCACACGAGGGGGTCGGTGGCCAGCGCCACGCGCGACTGCCTTTGTCTGCCCAGTGGCGATCTTTAAACACTGCAGCGGGTACTCATTTGAGGCTGAGTCGATCTAGGGGAGACCCAGGTCCAGTTCAAATATTTGTCATTCGAGCTGGCCGTGAGCAAGAATCGTAGCGCAGCGCGCTAGCTGCTGCACTTCTCCTCCCCATACGCATAAACACACAAACACATGCACACACCCATACAGACACGCATACACACACACAAACACACACCCATACAGACACCCACAAACACATAAACACACAAACACACACCCATACAGACACGCATACACACACACACAAATAAACACACATACACACACCCATACAGACACGCATACACACAAACACATAAACACACATGCACACACCCATACAGACATGCATACACACACACAAACACACACCCATACAGACACACACAAACACATAAACACACAAACACATAAACACACAAACACACAAACACACAAACACATAAACACACAAACACATAAACACACAAACACATGCACACGAACACTCGCACAATCGCGCACACATGGAGACACGCACACAGGGGAGCCTCTGTGATCTAGATAACGTCTCCCCGTCTCCCCCATCTCTCCCGTCCCTCCCACACCTCTCGTCTCCCGCATCTCCCCCCCCCCTTGCCCCCCGTCTCCCCCATCCCTCCCGTCTCCCCCACCCTCCCCATCACCCCCCCCGTCTCCCCCATCTCTCCTGTCCCTCCCACCCATCTCGTCTCTCCATCCCCCCCGGACGAGGCTGAGATGGCCTTCATCTCCCCGCGTCCCAGGGCAGAGGGACATTGCGACCCCCACTACCAGCGGCAAAGGGGCAGCCCTGCAAGTGCGCTCTCTCTCCCTCTATCTCCCTCTCTCTGTTTCTCCTGCGCGCAGCCCCCTGGCCACAGCGACTCCGGCAAGCTACTGAAGCTCCGAGGCTGCAGGAACGTGCCCCTGAAGAACGCCCCGAAAAAAGCGCTCTACACGTGCTGTGTCAAGGCGCTGCATGCCCGGGACCTGGCCGACCTACTGGATACAAAATGGAGAGACCATTTCTACCCCCTCATTGCGGCCGCCCCCCAGTGGAAACAAATGTACAAGTCTTCCGTAGCCAAACGCTGCGGTGACCTCCAGTGGAGATTGACACACTGCACGTTGTCATCGACCGTGTGGCTTTGCCGAATCTCGCCGGGGGTAACAGACTTGTACATTTCCTGCGGTGCCAGGGAGGATCTGCCCCACCAGTACTTACGCTGCCAGCGCCTCAAACCAATGTTCCGCCTTTTGGGGGACATCTTCAGGAAACTGGGGGTGCCCCTCTACAACAGCAGCTTCATATATGGGGTGACTTACCTGGCTAACAAGCGCCATGACCTCGCCATCGGCGAAGATGGCGGTGTACAGAACGAGGAAAAAGATGCTGGAAGGAGACACTGATGGCTGCTCTGTGCTTCCAGTGTTCAGGGGCCTGCTCAAAGTACGGCTGGAGCATGCATACAACACACATGCCGGTGATGTGCACGTCTTCTTCGAACAATGGGGGGCCGGAAAAGCCCCTTTCTGTACCAGCGTGGACGGCACCCTCGTGGTGTTCACCTTATGAAACACTCGCTCGTCGCCGTGGCGCGCGATGACCACCACCACGTGACTTTTTTGTGTTGGGCGTGGCGCGTGGATTTATAGTGTTTGTTGTTTATTTGCTGGTGACTTTGTATTTCGTATCAGTGCTGTTGCTGCTGGCGGCAATAAAAGTTGTTTAAAAGTCAAAAGTCGCTCCCTCTCTCTCTCCCTCTCTCTCGCGCGCCACTCCTGTCGCCAGTGCCTCCACGAGAGGGCGCTTCCAGAGAGGACGCTCTCGGCCTACTCTTCCACACTCATCCGGTTGTCTTGGGAGAGGTGGCAGTGCGAACCGCCGATGATCGTAACCCTGACCGTGGTGAAAACCCGTTCTTGCTGTCGACTGGACAGGGCCCGGGTGGATTTAACTGCCGCGCCGGGAGATGGAATCGAACCAGGGGGGCCCTGTGTCCAGTGGTGTTGTTAGACCAGGGCTCGGTCACCAACATAACAAAAAGAGGCGTTTTTATTTGAATTCTGTGAACCCCCTCGCAATATTTCAAGAACTGCAATGCCACTGTGGTGATGAGCACGAGACGGTGGTGGGGTCCTTAATAAATGACGTCACGAAGCAGCCTTTAAAGAGCCGCACGCGGCTCCGGAGACGCAGATTGCCGACCCCTGGGCTAAGCCATCAGACCACAGGGGGCGTTTCCCTAAAGAGGCTCACGCACCACCTCGCCCATTACACTACCCTGCTCACGCACTACCCCGCTCACGCACCACCCCGCTCACGCACCACGACTAAGAGAGAGAGAGGACGACTCGGAGATAGAGAGAGGACGACTCAGGAAGGGATAAGGCAACTCAGGGAGAGATAGGACGACTCAGAGACAGAGGATGACTCGGAGAGGATGACTCGGAGAGAGAGAGGACGACTCAAAGATAGGGCGACTCAGAGAGAGAGGACGACTGAAATAGAGAGAGAGGACGACTCAGAGAAAGAGAGGACGACTCAGAGAGAGAGAGAGAGAAAAGATAACTCAGAGAGAGAGGACGACTTGGAGAGAGAGAAGGGACGACTCATAGATATACTTTAAACCAATTTTATTGCTATCAGCAGCAATAGCTCTGGAGCCGCTTTTGATACAGGATCACCAACATCGAGTACAGCAACATCGCAAAACCGCGGCACGTGCACCACACCGCCACATGCGATGCAAGCACCGCATCGTCACGCACATCGCCCGCTTAAAGTCGACCGGTCAAAACGTGAAATTCAGTGCACCGTTTGTGTTGGTGCAGAGGGCCTGACCGGCCCCCCATCGTTCAAGGAACATGGCGTGGCACGTCCCCGGCATAGGAGTGGTACGCGAGCTCCAGCTGGAGCCGCGCCTTGAGCAGGCCCCTCAACATCGCCACCGCTGAGCAACCATCGTCCGTGTCGCCTTGCAGCTTCTTTTTCCGGGTTTTGTAAACAACAAGATCGTGGCGCTTATTTGCCAGGAAGGCACTCCGTATATGAACAAGCTCTTGTAAAAAGGCACCCCCAGCTTACTGAAGATGGATCCCAAGAGCCGGAACATCAGGTTCAGCCGTGGACACCCCAAGTACTGGTGGGCCAGATCCTCCTTCGCACCGCAGAACGCCACACACAGATCTGACGACCCCGGGGTGATCTTTCTGAGCCACACGGCCAAGGGCAGCGTCCGTGCGCCAACCTCCACTGGAGGTCCCCGCAGCGTTTTGCTACGGGGGGCTTGTACAGGTGCTTCCACTGGGGGGTGGCCTCGATCAGGGGAGAGAAAAAGTCCCTCCATTTCGTGTCCAGGAGGTTTTCCAGGTCTCGACAATGCAGCGCCTTGACGCAGCACACATAACAAGAGTTTTTTTTGGGGCACTCTTGAGGGCCACGTCTCTGTAGGCTGCGAGATTCAGCAGCTTCCCTGAGTCACAGTGCCCGGGAAGCTGGGTGCAGGAGATGCGCAACTCCGGGAAGGAGGAGGAAGGTCGCGCGGCGCCACTGTCTTCAGTTGCTTCCAGCTTCAGCCGCAACTCCCGCATTTCTGCGAGTGCCTCCCGTAACAGCTTCTCTCCGGCGAGCATAGATCGGAGCCCTGCAGTGCCGCTGATCTCGGCCACGGTCTTCCACTTGGGGTGACGGTTGTGGCTCTTTACAAGGTCGCCGACCGTCCGCACCCCTGCCGAGGTGAAACGGAGGGCCAGCGTTCTCTCTTCCCTTATTCCTTTGAAGAGGCTATTACAGAACAGGGGTTCGTGTATGAAATGTTTGAGGGCACAGTGCGGGCTCGCCCTGCTCCATTCAAGGTTCCGCGACGCATCTAAGAGGCTTTGATAATACCCTGGCAGCCTTGTGTAGTCGACTAGAGCCAGGTCCAACAGGAAAATCTCCCTTCCGTTCCCCAGGCACCCCCCCCCCCCCCCCACGTCTTTCAACAGGCTGAGGGCCGGAGACGTCCAGGGCAGCTCCTCCTGGTCATGCAGCAGACGCCTCACGGCCTGAAGCCTGAAGCTCATGACCCTGGCGGAGACATCCACCAGGCCCTGGCCGCCCTCACCCACCGGCAGGCAGAGGACCCCTGGCCTCGGCCAGTGCTTGCCGTGCCACACAAAGTGGGTGAGTGACCGGTTTGTCCTCGTGAGTAGCCAGTCTGGGAGCTGGAGGACTTTGGCCCTATGTCACAACACAGAGGCTACCAGGTTATTTCCTATGAGCACTCGCCCGCTGAAGAACATTAC